GATCTCACTTGTCCTCACTCTTTCCACTACTGCCCACCAATCACCTCCAAACATGGTTTTCACGTATATAGCCACATAATAATGTTCAAGTCTTCTGTAGGTACCCTTTTCAAGAGGAGAGGAATTTTGCTCCTAATTAAGAACTAAATGTCTGATGTTAGTGGCATTCCATAAAATAGAATGAAGAACATGGATATTCATCCTATTTGCTTCCTTACTTTTTATAATGTATATATTTATAATCTCACTGGTTGTGACCTTAATGGCTGGTTGCTCTCAATATCCACTCTCTCCTTTCGGACACAATGTTGCCAGCTAAGGACTGCGTTCCCCAGCTTCCCATTAAAACAAAATCCCAGACATCATCCTATTTCATTCAAAAATCCCTCAGTTATGCATCTCTAGTAACAGGTTGTTTTAAACATAAACACTATGCAATTAACATAACAGAATTAATAGGCCAGGTAATTCCTTGACATTATCTAATACCTAGTGCACATTCAAATTCCGTCTTTTTACAGTTGGTTCGTTAGAATCAAGGTCCATATACTGTATTTTTGAGTCTGCCCTTTTTTATTTCATGTCACTGATTGTTGAAAAAACATGTTTCTTCATTCCTTTGTCTGATGAATGACCTTTGATTGCATCCTCATAGTGTCTTTTTTTTTTTTTGGCTGAGCAGCATGCAGGATCTTAGTTCCCTGACCAGGGATGGAATCCGTGGCCCCAGCAGTGGAAGCGCGGAGTCTTAACCACTGGACCGCCAGGGAAGTCCCTATTTTTATTTTTTTATTATTATTTTTCTCATGTCATTTACTTCATTCTTCTATCTCCCCTCTTATCCTTGACAGGTAGTTAGATCTAGAGGTTTGACTAGATGCAGGTTCAGACTTTTTAGGCAAGAATCTTTAAAGGTGGTGCTGTGTGCATCCTATTTCATCACAGCGAGAAGTCCATAATGTCTTGCAGAGCTAAATGTATTTTTTTAAAGAAAATCTCCTATTGAATCACCATGTGTGTAAATTACGTAGGGTTAAAAGGCAAAGTTTTCCAAATTGATACTGGATCCAAAGATAACTGACCTTAAGTGGTGATTAACAGCACCAAGATGGCTAAATTTTCAAAGGAGTCTTTCCAAATGAAGTTTCATATTTGCCACCCTTTTCCCTAATTACTTCCAAAGTATGTTTTATTACTTGAAATTATGCACACTGTAGATTTGTCCAAATACTGCTTATCAGCATGAAAAGTACACTATTAAAGTTTTCTCCCTCTGTATTAAATTAGAAAGTTTTCAAGTATCAAACACTACAATTAACTAATGTAGGATAATCATGCAATATACCTCCATAGCACAACAAACAACACATTTAAAACATAAAGAAATTTAGTCACAAAATTAAAATATACAATATGATACACCAGCTCTAGATCTGAAAGGAGGTGTGGTGGTGGTGGTGTCATTCATCCCAAATGGGAGGGAAAAAAAAACTCAAGTCCTTATTGACTGACATCAAGCAGACCATATTTGCCCGTAGGTTCCTAACTGGTGGTAAACAATATTCCAAAATAATACCAGATCAATGATCAACTGAAAACTTCTAGTGCCAGTCAAAAAGAGTGTGTTATCTGAATGTCTACCTTGCAGCCTATTATTAAGGGGTAGGGCACCCAACTAGGAAAAGCAGAGTACATATCCTGCTTCTAATCACGCGGGATCTTGGGAAAGTTCCTTCTCTCAGCCTGTTTCCTGAATGTACCTAAGTGCCAGGAACTGGGCTAAAGACTTAATAGCCATTGTCTCCTTTAACCCCTCCATCCAACAACACTCTGAGGATGGTACTGTCACTGTTCCCATTATATAGAGGAGGAAAACAAGGCACAGAGAGGTTTAATAACTTGCCCATGGTCGCACAACTGGTAATGACTGCACTAGAACCCACAGGCAAACACAACACACACCACTGCCATAACATGAGATTCCTAACACCTTTAAAAAAAACTTCTCTACCCTGATCTTGCTCAATTATTCTGCCACAAATGACTGTTGCCCATGGCTTTATTACAAAACGTGTAAATCTCTGGGATTTCCTCCACTTTTTCTGGACGGTCGCTCTCCTTTCCTTTGAGACTTCTGTTTTTTTCCTTCCTTTCCCCTAGTATGTGGGGATTCCTGCATGGCTCTTCCATTTCTCAGTGGCTTCACCTTCTATGGCTCCTACTACCAACCACTCATACGTAAATTACTAAAAATCTGCGTCTACAACCCAGAATTTCAGACTGACTTCCCAGAATGTAAACACCAAGATAGGGACTCGTGCCTGTTTAGTTCAGTGATTTATGTTCACCCCCTATGCCTGGCACATGGTAGGTGCCCATTAAATATGTGTTAAATGAACAACCCAAGGACACCTTAAACACAATTATGTCCAAACTTGAGGTTGCTTACTACCAACAATTCTAAAAAAAAAACAAAAAAAAGCCCTGCTTCTGCTTCTTCTCGAGCATTCCCTATCCCAGTGACGTAGGCAATAATGCTAGCGTCGCCAGCAGCTCCGGGAGGAAGCCGGGAGGTCACCCTGGTTCCTTGATCCCCCTCACCTGAAGGGCCCGAGCCAGCCCCGGTTTCCCCAGCCCTAACAGGCCCGGCCGGCGGAGCCCCGCGCTTCACTCACCGCCAAGGAGCTCGGGAGGAAATCTCGCGCGGTTTGCAGAGCTTGCGAGGGGTTCGCCGCGCGACCTCGGCCCTCCGACCTCAGTAC